TTTTGTTCTTATTGTCAAAAGCTTATATGATCCAAGCATGTTAAAAACCTTAACTCTTTCACATACTTGATGTGGTATTGTCATCAATCACCAAAAAGGGGAGATTGAAAGCATCTAGGCCCTAGTTGGATTTTGGTGATTAATGACAATACGTGATTACTATGACTAACGTGTATTTTCTAGAGGCAATTAAGTTAGGTCATGGTAATGGAGATCGATTGGGCAATCATGGTGGTCATGCCCCTACGATGAAAATAGTTTTGGTTTTCAAAGGATGGACGACAAGGTTAAGGATAGACTAGTTCTAAGTGTCATTTGGTGTTGAAGAGACACTTAAAGTAGTTTAGGACTTTGTTTTTCCTTTGGTCGTACTATTAAGGGGGTATGGACGGGTAGCTTGATCTAGGTGGGTCTAGTGGGTTAGGTGTGGTGCACACTTGCTAAATCTAGCACTAGGTAGCTCCTAAAAAGCCCTTAGATCAATTAGAGCAAACTTCATTCACATATGATTGAGAGTTGGAAGTGAATGGAGGGTCAAATGTTGACCAGACGCTGGTTCCAGTGTGACCGGACGCTGGTGCAGAGTCCGGTCAATTCATTTAATCAAGGTGAAATCGTCTGGCGCGATCGGACGCTGAGAGTTGAGCAACCGGACGCTGGGTGCTAGCGTCCGGTCGACTCCAGTAAGGTTCCAGAGAGGGAAAATCGTGACCGGACGTGTCCGGTCACAACTTAATCACTGGATTTCGGGGTGTACTGACCGAGCGTCCAGTCAACTTGATCGGAGCGTCCGGTCACCCTGTGGAGGCACATAACAGTTCGTTTTTCAACCGGGGTTATAAATACTTCGTCCATTCGTGTGAGGGGGTACTTTTACTCATTCCAACAGCTAAGAAACACCTTTGAGAGTGCCAAGAAGAGCAAGGTCCTAGTGAGATGATTGAGATTTGAGAATCCCAAAGAGAGCCCTCATTAGTGAAAGCAAGAGTAGCAAAGTGTGCATCCACCCTTCTCATTAGGCTTGTCGTGGTCAAGTGAGAGTTCGTGCTTGTTACTCTTGGTGATCGCCATCACCTAGACGGCTTGGTGGTGATTGGGAGTTTGGTGATCATCCGATGGAGCTTGTGGATGACCCAACTCAAGTTGTGAGCTGTTGTGGGTGATTCACCGCGACAGAGTGTCGAAGAATCAACCCGTAGAGAGCACTTGATCCTTGCGCGGATAAAAGGGGAGCTCCACCCTTGCGTGGGTGCTCCAACGAGCACTAGTGGGGAGTGACGACTCTCTGATATCTCGGTAAAACATCACCGCGTTCCTCCTTCTCTCTTTACTTTGAGCATTTACTTTGAACAATTCAATTCTTGTCATTTACATTCATAGAATTACCATGCTAGAATAGGATTGGAACATAGGTTGCTAAACTTTTATGCGTTAGATCAGTAGAAACACTTTCTAGGCATAAGGGGTTAATTGGGCTAACCTTAGAGTTTAATTATTACAAAGAAATTTAGAATTAGTCCAATTCACCCCCTCTTGGGCATCTTGATCCTTTCAAACACCATGGCATCACCATCATCATGTCATGATCTTCATTTGCTTCATCACTTAGAATGTGCTACCTATTTCATGATCAATTGATAAACTAGGTTAACACTTAGAACTTCATCAATTCAACAAAACCAAACTAGAGCTTTCACTCCCTCTATATTATAATTGACTAAACTAGAAATACTTAGCTTTTCATTCAGGGAATGTATTTTTTTAGTAGTGAGGCCTTGTTTTGGATGTAGTCAAATTCGAATCAATCCACATGTGTTGTGGTGGATTGGAGTGAAACTTAAATTCCACTTCAGCATTACTTTTCAACGAACGAATAATGTTTTTCTCTCACGATAAATCAACATAAGCAACAACATAAGCCAAATTTCAGTGAAACGAATTGGACCTTGGATTGAGATGAATCCGATAACATGAAAACAAGGCCTGAGTAGTGTGTTTCTTGTCAGCAGGTGCGTACCGTGCTTATGCTTCATTCAGCTAACGCCCTGTTTGACTGACACGGCTGATGCTGATTTGTTACGAGAGAAATACACCGTTATTTCGCTAAAACGGTACAGCTGATCCTATCTCGTATAAGGCATGTATTCAATCTACATTTCTACGAGTAGTAACAATAAATAAGTAGTCAACGTTTTTATTACTCCAGTGAGCCGAGAGCTTAAATAAACACGCCAAAGATGTCTCTCCTCTGGAGGGCAAATTCGGAACGCAGGTTTTGGTGGCTCCCAAGCGGCCAGCCAAGCCCATAGGAAATGGCGGCAGGGAACAGCCTTGAATCACTCGCTGTCCCCTCCTCGCCCTCTCTTCTCTGGATGGATAGTACAGTGGACCTGTACTAGAGCCGCCGCTAATAAACAATGGTAATTTGCACGCTAACCTCGAGGCACAACGCACCGGCCATGCCTCGGGAATTCGTGCCCTCCTGGCCCTATTACCATCTTTTTATTATTTTTGGAAAACAATTTTATATCATAAACAAAAAAGACATAACTACTCCTATTGGGCACTGGCCGAGAGCTTTCTTTGCAGTAGTGCTGCTACTACTAGCCAGTAGCGAGGGCTTCCTTTTTAATTTTAATTTTGCGAGAATGGAAGTCGCCTTCACCGAACAGAGGCGTATTTGTGTCCAGTTTGTGTGGCTCGGGGCGTGCCAAGACATGAGACCCATCGCGAACAGTGCCGCCACGCATGACCGGTCGGTGCGCATCGCATCGCATCGCATGCATGCGTCACGCCCGCCCACCCGCCCAAGTTTTTGCAAGGGCCGCCGCACCCGCACAGGAGCCAGTACACTATGGCCCTGTTTTGATTATTGAGGCTCTCCTGAAATTTCTGTTACATCGAATATTTGAACATATGCATGTAGTATTAAATATAGACTAATTACGAAACTAATTACACAACTTGTGACTAATTTACGAGATGAATTTTTTAAGCCTAATTAGTTCATGATTTGACAACGTGGTGCTACAGTAGATATGTGCTAATGCCAAATTAATTAGGCTTAAAAAAATCATCTCCTAAATTAATCTCTATCTATGTAATTGTTTTTGTAATTAATCTATATTTAATACTCCTTATTAATATCTAAATATTCGATGTAACATGAATTTTAGGAGCGTATAAATAACCAAACACCACCTATATATACTAGTACTATACTCCTACAGAGTAGTAGTTTATCATGCAGCACAGCGTGCATGCTCTGACCGAGCATTCATCAAACTGCAGGCAGCCATGTACCAAGTCCAGCGGCTGATTATTATTGTATAATAGTAGTAGTTCACAAGTTACAGTGAGAGATGATAAGGGCCGTCGTAAACAAATGAAGGTGACTCTAATAAGCTTCGGCTGCCACATGCCCCTCCAGCGTCCACGCTGGACCTGGATTTTTTCCTACAAACACCACCGATTAATCAGTGGTAATGATACAACGGGATCCTAGGTACCAATGTGTCCACTAAACTAGCTGTACGTCCGTCCAACTGATCTTTGACCAGGCCGGATCCAAATCCCATGCATGGACCAACCAACAAGCGCCCCGTTCGTTTGAGCTTATTTAATTTATAAGCTGTATCTTTTCAGCTAACGAACGATATTTTTCTCTCATACCAAATCGGCCAATAGCACTTTCAGTCATATCTCATGAGCCAAACAAGTCCAATTGGACGAAGTAGTGCTTGATATCAGTATCATCGTGCCAGCAGTGTTTGTGCAGAATGCATGTACCGTAACAGTGGTGAAATGAGCAGCAGAGTATAGATACGGTACCGTGAACCACGGGTTGGGGCGGGAGCTGATGGAGGCCCTGTTGTCCCTGTGCAAAACAAAATGCTGCCCGAGAGACAGAACCGCCAGCCTTTTATTTTTATCATCAGTCACCTGCAAAAGGGAAAGGGAAAGGCTTGGGTTAGTGCAAAGGACCTCTGGGAAAAGCACACGCGACGACACCAACAGTACATTCAGATTCAACATCAGATGCCATAGAAGATGCAGTGCAACTGTGCAAGAACAAAAAATATATTGTGACATTACAACTCTGCAAGAAACTAACTCTAGAGACAGCACTATATGACCACACTCATCAGCACAGAGGGGGTCAAGGGTTCCAATCTTACAAATGCTGATCTAAACAGCAATTTGGTGAATGAAAACTGCAACAAGATATATATATATATATATATATATATATATATATATATATATATATAGTTGGTAGTAATGGTCCTGACAGGATATAGTGTTTACGTAGCACTCTGCCAGCCGTTTTCTTGTTCGGGTATCAAGAATTCAGGGTACACATCACATGTGCTGACAGGGTTGCAAGATGGCCTGCCTACTTTCGGGCATCAAAGCACTGAACAGCTTTATCTGCCCGTTACAAAAGGATAGTTCAGTTTAGGTGAATCCTACCACAGGAGATCTTAAAGGTTGAGGTCACTAGTCCTAGGTTTCTTTGTACAGGCAGAAGCCAGAACCTTGGCTCATTTGGTTTCTTTGTACAAAGTTTCCCCTGGGTGCCCAAACACATTAGGCACTCAGCTTATTTTTTCTCAGCAATAACACATTTTTGGTCTCCTGCTATAAAAATGAGCAAAAGCAAGGCCAGTTATGCTACACTAATACTGGCTAAAATCTAACAGCATGCTCATCAACTAAAATTTTAGACATGCTTTATTTGCACCTAGGGATATTGCATCACAGAAGGTTGTTATTCTACTTAACTAAAGTCATACAATGTACTACAGTGATGGAGTACAGTTAGGATCTGCAGCCGTGAAACACAGTAATTGTTCTCAATGCATTACTCTGAAGATAACTAGCAGTGAGAGAGGGAGGGAGGAGATTTGCCTGTGCATTTTGTTGCAGAAGAAAGAATTCAGCGATGCAGGAGAAAGCATTATTATTTTAACAGAATCACAGTAGTTGTTAATGCCCAGCTAATTGAATGGCTGATGAGGAATGCCAGGCGTAAGAACTGCACCAAAAGTAGGGCTGCAAATTCAGTCACAGCAATAACGAAAAATAGCGTTACTCCTAATAGTGTGGTACATTGGAGCTTACCATCAGATAAAATGGCAGAACACTCACGAGCAAAAACTTCTCTGGGGTCTAAAGCCAGATTGGATACCAATATTTTATCTAAGTTTTCTTCCCTGAAAATATGTGCAAACAAAATGCAGTTAGCAGGATCAATATGAATTCAGCACTGGAACATAGAGTAGCGCAGGATCCCTAGTTTCTATATTAGCATGGCAGGAAATTCTCAGTTTCTATAAGGAATAACTTTTCCATGTCTGATTCAAAAGAGGAGCATTTGCTCACAGAAAATGTTATAAGGAAATTCACATTAAGTTAGGATGACAAAATAAAAATAAAAACAGAAGCAACTTCAACTAGAGCACCGCTGTCCTATAATAAGTTTGATAGTCTGCCCAGTGTATTATCTAATGTACTTGACTTTTTTTGGAAACAGAATTGGTCATTGATAGCTATAACTTATAGGTATAGAGTACTTACTGAGCCCATGATGGAATCAATTTACATCTACGCCTTATTTCCCTTTGACGCTCCAAGATTTCGAAATCCTTTGCATCAGAATCTTCATAAGGTGTCATTCCATAGGACTGCGATATGTTTACAGAATGAATGTTAAGCAGAATACTTCTCAAACCATAATGTTTACAAAGTTCTGGTAAATGAAAGAAAACCACAAGGAAAGCCACTAGATTCTGTTAATCAATATAATGCATTGTGCGAATCAAAGGATCCCACTGCTTTCACCCTGTATTTTTTGTCAGCATCTCAACTGTTTCAAGTTTTGGTACCAGATGTACATCTGGACTGTGTGTGATATTTTGATGTGTACAGTCATGATGTGTTCTCCTTGCAAGAGAATGACTAGATAATGTAACAACTATGCTTATATTTAAAACTTCAGTTGTATTTTTTGTATAATTCTAATAGGCACTATAGAGAATTGAATTGAAATTATTAGAAAATTGTTGTTGGCGGGTCTAGCTAGAACCTGTCATAGGGGAACCTTCCCAGTAGTTTGCAAAAAATACAATAGAATGTAATAATTGTAGCATGCACTGTCCGTCACAGCTTATAGCATGGGTCCACACCTGACAACTGCAATAGTTCTCACATCTAGATTCCAAGTTAATTGTATGTCATAACAATCTTGCCCTACCAAAAAATATTTTGTTAACACTTTTCTTACTCCCTCATTCTTTTCTTACTCCCTCATTAATGAGAAGAGCACTAGTTCTCCTTTCCTGTTTCAGGATTAATCTGGGACTTTATAGCCCTTGAAGAAAACGAAAAGGTACCTTCGATCCTAAGGATTGTTAAAATTTCATATAGATAAATCAACTAAAAGAGTATACCCCCACATTGTCTGACAAGTTTTCCGGAACCTGAAGCCCAGAACCTGCTGATTTACAATCTGCATACATGGCCTTCACACTGCTGCTTTCAGATGCCAAAAGTCTCTGAACAGATTCCATCCTTTCATCAGATAATAATTGATTTCCTACCCTTTCGACTAAATTCTCCACAAGATCCTTGCCATCCTGAAATGATTAAAATGACTTAAAAAAGATAGTTCATATAGTAATTTGAAAAGCGATGTTAGTTTCAGTATTTACTAACAGTATCTTTTGGACAGGCATCTTTCACGGTATTTGTAGAATGTATTATTTCCTCCAGCTGCTTTTGATGTTTCGGTGCCTCTTCAGCACATTTCTTTTTTCTGTCATTCTCCCTCTTTCCATCACCTTCTCTCTGCCTCTTCGTAGTAATAAAGTCTGCTCCTGTTTTCTTCTCGTGCTCCACTTGTTTTTGTCTGTGCTCTTTCTCTTGCTTTAATCTTTGAAGCTCTAGTTTCACAGCTGCTTTGTGCATTTCACGCTCGGTTTGCTTCTTCTCTTCACGACGCTTTGCAGTTGCCGCCACCTTAAGTGCCCTCACTCTAACATCTCTTTTTGCTGCAAGTGAGAAGTTTCATTTATTGGATTGTCTGATGTGCCCATTCAGGAAAAGAATGTAAGCATTTTGTACAGCATCAAGCATATGAATTATGATCATAGCATCATGCATGACTACATTAGAACACTTGCATTAAATTAAATTTCGAACTAAAAATAGTTGTAAACAGATTAGACTTACCACATGATTTTGATGCCTGCTGATTTTGTTTTGCAAGTGGTATAATTGATGTCAGTTTTGATACTGTATTCCGAGGCCTGCAACCTTTCTTAAGATTTGTTTCCCATCTTTTCCTTTCACTTTTGCTACATGACGTTTCTGTCTTACTTAATCTGTCATGGAGCGAATAAGTAATTTTTCCAGCATTAGTAATCGAAAGAGCACGAACCTCCTTCGGGTTCTTTATGTCCTGATTAACTCTGATATGCACATTCTGATCAGGCTCCCTTATATAAGATTTCCCAGCTATCAAGTCTAGGCTGCTTGTTCCTTTGCTTTGATATATATTAGTAGCATACCCAAGCAGCCTTTTGCCACCCAAGCATTGCCTTGAATAATTTCTACCAATAGAATGAGATGGTTTCACTTGGTTCTCATTTCCCCCTAGAATGGTGCTATCTTCATCAATTTTAGAGCAACCAAATCCTGATATAGAGCCAAGATAATCCGAACTAGATCCAATCGTTGCAGGGAGCTTTTCCAGGTCATACTTCTCAAATGAAAGGGTCAAAGGAACATCACTATCCTCTTGTACACTATAAACATTTGATGAACCAGAAGTCTGACCATTGGACATCATAAAAGCACCATCAAAATCCAAACTACATTTGCTAGCATAACTTGCGTTGCTCTCTGGTCATCACCTGGCTAGGAGGTCTTGGGGACGGCGGGTTAGAGCTCATACGTGCCACGATCGCCCTTAGGTTTGAGATCGACGAAACTCGACTAACCCTACATCCCTGGGGTCCGTCCAGTTTCCTCTTGATCTTGCCTAATGTGGAACTTGCTGGCATTGTCTACAATGGAGGTCGCCCCATCGTCACCACCTCTGCCCGGCTGCATGTCATGCGATGGACGAGGTTTATCCAGGCCTCGGCAGCGAGCCTTCCGGTGGCTGTAGAAGTTGAGCTCGTGGGCATCCCTGCCCATGCTTGCAATTTGGCGACCACTGAAGTTCTTTTGGACGAGCTCTGCTGGATTAATGGACTGCACCCGGGCAATGCTGATTGACGCAATGTGTTCATGGTGAAGGCTTGGTGCTCCGATCCCGCTCTCTTCCCCCTTGAGATGATGCTGGAGATCGTGGAGCCCCCTCTGGCGCGTGGTTCCGACGTGCGGACGTTAACCTACCCCATCAAGGTCACGGTTCGTCCCCTCGTCAAGCCTGGTGCATACCATTATCCCCCCTCCCCCCCTGAAGATGAAGATGAAGATCATGATCATCGCTGAAGTCGTAGGACTCATTCTTCTTCGTCGTCTTCTCCGGCTCAGGCCGCGGCGCCGGGCGAAGCTAAGTCCTTTGGCCAGGCTGGCAGGGCCTTGATCCATGAAAGGTTGGGCTCTCGAGTCCATGAGGCTGCCAGGGATCCCTCCTCAACTGTCGTGCTCAACATTGATGATCGGTCGGCCATGTCTGCTGAGGCCTCACGACGTGATGTCGCTTCGCGTGGTTCCGATGCAGACCGAACTAGAACCAAGGAGACCGTGACTGCGGACGATGCCGTTATCGGGGGGCTGTTGCTCGAGGGCTCCTACACGCATGTAGATGTGTTTAAGGAGAGCGTTGCCGCTGATACGGCGGTGGAAGGCAAAAGAGATACTGATGTCGGGCGGATTGATGACAGGCCACGAATTGAGATCCCTCTAGAACTCTTATGTGGGCCTTCGATGCATCCTGTTGAACGAGGAGAATCTAATGGGCCTTGGGCTGATGATCTCTCCGAGGGACCTCAGTTGGAGGCATCTGGGCCGCCTCCCCTCTCCTCCCTGGATGGACTGAACGAGGCCCATGTGATGGTTGAGTCTAACGCCCCCACCTCTGCTGGCCCAGATATGCTGGTCGAGCCTCATGTTGTCTCTGTGCCTCCAGCCGAGACTTCGTCTCCCTCCCCATTGCCGTCGTCCTCTGATTGCTCCTCCCTACGATCGCGGCCAGCTAGCTCGGCACAAACTTCCACTGCAGCTCCCTCCTCCCTGAAATCACCACATCCCGTCACTGCTGCTACTTCCTCCTCGAACTTGCCACTCCCGGCCACTGCCGCTCCTACCCCCTTGAACTCCTCATATGTGGCCCGGCCGGTGGCTGCGGCTTTGCAACAGACCTTACAGGTCTACTCACGTCGCCACCCTCGCAGAAGAGAGAGGGCGGCAGATTCAACTGTTGCTGTCCAAGCTTCCCCTAGTGCGCCTCCCAGCTTGGCAACGGAGTTCGTCAAGGCTCTGACAAAAATTCCGGGGGGTATCATGCCAATTCCTCATGTCAATAAACGAAGGAAGAAGAAGCTGGAGCCACCTAGCAAGGAGCCCCGATGGAGTCGTCGGATTGCGGGCTTCCCCGCGACAACGTCGAAGGTATGCCCCTCACATCTGAAGAAACAAGTCATGCGTGCACTGGATATGAATGTCGATGAAGAGAGGGAACGCATTAGCCAACAAGCCCTGGATGATTATGCGCAACGCTTTAAGCAGCCTATGCCAACTTCTCACATTAAGGCCCTGGCTGCTCTTTTCGGATGGGCACTCCCTGAGGCAGTTTCTGCTGCTAACTTGGTAGAGTGTATTGTCTGATTGCTGCTCCAGGTTGCTTTTGTTCTTCAGTATCATTATGGATCCGGCACACACCCTAAATTGGAATGTACGAGGTTTGAACTCAGCAGCGAGACAGGATGTTGTTAGAGTCATGGTGGATGCCTCTAAGATTGATGTTGTTTGCCTACAAGAAACTAAAATGAGTACAGTTTCTAGGCGTCTAGTCCTGTCCATGTTAGGAAGTGAATTTGATAATAATTTCATTTACCTTCCTTATGATGGAGCCAGTGGTGGAATTTTGGTGGCTTGGCGGATTCAACTGGGCACTGTTGGAGCTACCAGGGTGGATGCTCACAGTGTCTCGGTTCAATTCTGCCCATGTGATGGTAGTGTGTTGTGGTTGACCTGTGTATATGGCCCCCAACAAGATCAAGACAAGATCCAATTTCTTTAAGAATTGAGGGATGTCAGAGTTTAGTGCTCTGGGCCATGGTTGGTAGTCGGAGACTTCAATCTTATTTATAAGGAGGAGGATAAAAACAATTCCAATCTTAATAGAGCAATGATGGAAAGGTTCAGAAGATGGATAAATGATTTGGGGGTCTCTGAAATTCCTCTTCACGGTCGTAAATATACATGGACCAGCTCCTTCACTAATGCTTCCCCTACTCTTGTTTGGTTGGACAGAATGTTCTGTACACTGGATTGGGAATATCAGTTTCCAGGTTGTCTCTTGCAGTGTGCTGCTTCTAATGACTCTGGCCACTGTCCCCTGATCCTTGGGCTGCAGGATATCATTGGCTGCAAGAAAAGATTTCATTTCGAAGCTCTCTGGCCTTCTCTGGATGGTTTTCTAGAAGTAGTGAAGGATGCTTGGGATACTGTATAGCCTAGAACCTGTCCACTTGATACCCTTGCTTTGAAATTCAAGGCAACTGCCAGAGGGTTACAGAGCTAGAGTCAGAAGAAATTTGGTCACTTCAAGTCCCAATTGCTTCTGGCAAAAGAAATCGTCCACCAACTTGATATTGCTCAAGAAAGCAGGCCTCTTCAACCTAATGAATTATGGCTACGTAATAATCTCAAGAAGCATTCACTGGCGCTATCTTCCCTGCTGAGAACAATATCAAGACTCAAGTCTAGGATAAATTGGCTAAAGGATGGGGATGCCAACACAAGGCTTTTTCATCAACATGCAAGGTATAGAAAAAAGAAGAATTTCATCCCCAAATTGCATGTTGGAGATCAGGTTATCACAATGCATGAGGATAAGGCAGCTGCTCTTCTAGATTTTTATGGTAGTCTCATCGGAACTGAGTGCGGTAGAGGGAGAACTATCAATCTGGACACCCTTGGCAGCCCCGGCTTTGATCTTGAAGCTTTGGATTTGCCCTTTTCAGAAGAAGAAGTGTGGAACACCATAAAGGAGATGGCACCAGATAAGGCTCCTGGACCGGATGGGTTCACTAGCAGATTTTATAAAAGTTGCTGGACAGTTATCAAGAATGATGTGATGGCAACAGTTCATTTTCTTTGGACTGGAAATTTCAGAAACCTTCAGAAACTGAATTCTGCATACATTACTCTGATTCTAAAAAAGACTAATGTTGTTCAAGTCAAGGATTATAGCCAATTAGCTTGGTTCACAGCTTCGCCAAACTTGTGACCAAAATCCTGGCTAATAGGCTTGCAGGTCGGCTAGATGAGATGGTGTCCTCCAATCAAAGTGCTTTCATAAAAAAAAGTTCATTCAAGATAATTTCATGATGGTCCAGTAGACAGTTAAATTCCTACACTCTCAAAAGCAGTCCAGAATTCTCCTGAAGCTTGATATTACCAAAGCTTTTGACTCAGTGTCTTGGGCCTTCCTTTTGGAGGTGCTTAGAAAATTGGGTTTCAGTTCTCGCTGATGTGACATGATTTGTGGCCTCTTATCATCTTCGTCCACCCAAGTTCTCTTGAATGGCATCCCAGGAGAAGGTATTTTGTACAGAAGGGGACTGAGACAGGGAGATCCGCTATCTCCTATGCTCTTTATTCTTGTTATGGATGTGTTAAATCAGATGTTCACAAGGGCTTACGAAGTTGGGTACACATGACCTTTATCCAAGAGGGCCTATCCAAAGACATAATCTCCTTATATGTCTTTGATGTAGCCATTTTCCTTCAGCCTGATGCAGCAGATATCAATTTGTCTTTACAGCTACTGGATTTATTTGGTGAAGCATCTGGCCTTAGGACAATTATTCAAAAAAGTAATGTGCTACCAATCCATTGTGCTGAGGAAAATCTGGCCCTCATTCAGAATCTGTTGCCCTGTGAGATGCTGGATTTCCCTTGCAAATATTTGGGTCTGCCCCTAACCATCAAGAAGATGACTAAGGAACAGGTACAACCCATCATTGACAGAATTGCAGATCAGCTTCCTAGGTGGAAGGCTGATTTGATGACCCGAGCTGGTAGAGTTATTCAAGTGCAGTATGTTCTCACAAGAATCCTGATTTATGTGGCCATGGCAACAGATCTCTCACCTTGGGCTCTCAAAGCCATTGACAAGATCAGAAGGGCCTTCCTGTGGAGAGGCCGAAAAGAGGCAAAGGGTGGTCACTATCTCATTGCCTGGCCTAAAGTGTGCCGCTCCCGAGAATTAGGTGGTCCTGGGATTGCTGATCTAAAGGCTTTGAGTATCGCCTTAAAAACATGATGGTCGTGGCTCAAGCGGAGTGAGCCCAGCAAACCGTGGGCAAATCTACCTATCCAAGTCAGTAGAGAAGTAGCTGGCCTCATCTCTGTGGCTGTAATAACTGAAGTTGGAAATGGATCTAATACACTCCTTTGGGAGGGCAAATGGTTAGATGGCAAAAGAATCCAGGACATCGCACCTCTGGTATTTGCACTGGTTTCTAAAAGAAGATATAGTAGACGTACTGTGTTGGAAGCACTAACTGGGGAAAATGGATAGAGGACATACAGGGTGAGATCGGTTCAACTGCCTTGATTCGGTATCTTGACCTTTAGGATATCCTGAATGGTGTGGAGCTAAATGAGGAAATTCCTGATATGCACATCTGGAGGCTATCTGCTTCAGGAAAATATACAGCAAAGAGTGCCTATGATGAGAGAATCTAAAAATCCTGCCCCCCCCAATGCAAATTTTTCATGTGGCTTGTCGCTCATAATAGATGTTGGACAGCAGACAGATTGGCAAAGAGGGGGCTCCCTCATCCAGATCAGTGCCTTCTATGTGATCAAGAGAAGGAGGACATTCAACATCTTCTTGTGGGCTGTGTATTCTCAAAAGACTTTTGGCTCTCCCTCATGTTGCGCTTTGGTTTTGCAGCACTTGCTCCTCAACCTTCTGACCAATCCTTTGATAATTGGTGGAGAAAAGTTGATAATGC